TTATAAACAGTCCACTACACCTTTTTAGCGTTTTTTTTTATTGAATTCGATAATTATTTTTCTGATATTATATGTACAGTGTGGGTCAAATTCGACGCTTTTAAATGGAAACACCCTTTTCTATAGGAAATAGACAAAAACTAATATCGGTGTCTGGAGCTAAATTTTTGTCAAAAACATGATGGTGAAAACCGCATATCGATATCTGTTACCGTTTTTGAGTTACGGGGTGTTTTTCAAAAATATGCATTTTTAACAAATCGCTGTAACTTTTTTGCTATGGAAAATTTTGTATTTTTATGAAAACATTTCCAAATTTGATTTCTTTTATGAGACACCCTGTATATTTTTAATTTATTGAAAAGAATTTAAAATTACCTTTCCAAAAATATAACACACTTGATATTTTGCTCGATTCCTGTTCGAGATATAGAGTATATAAAAATTCGCCTGCTTTAAATTAAGAACGGAAATTAAGAAAATTTTGAACGGCACCGGCTGTAATGCAAAAAAATTCTAGCTGTGAGAATCAATTAAATCGAAAATATTATTTGCTATGAGAGATGCAGAATTTTATAACAATTTAAAATATATTTAACCAACATCAACATTAATTAAACACATTTAAACTATATCTAATAACAATAAAAATAAATAGCAAACCAAGACATGAGATTTTGCTACAGGTGTTCGACATATCGACCGTCTTCTGTTATGGACAGACGGGGCCGTTTTTGAACATTTCTCGCGGAATTCATTAACTCAGTGGGGGTGAAAGATACCCTCTCGTAATTGCTAAGTATTTCTAATTTTTGTCTAGATTATACGGAAGAATAAGGAACATTTATTCTTCCGCAAATATATCCATAAGATTAGATCCATGGGCAATAAGTCAGGCGGCCTCGCCGGCCAACAGCTGGGATGTTGGTTAGCTATTCAATTTTTCTTGAAATTGGCTGCAAAAATTTGCTGGTAACTTCAGCGTTCTGAGGCGGTGCGTCGTCTTGCTGGAAAAATATGTTTTCGAGTTCCATTAAGGGCATATCATCAATAAGGGATCCAAAGCCTACTAGTTAAAAGTGGCGAATTTTTAAATATTCTGTATTTCGAAGGGGATTATAACAAAATATCAAGTGTGCTATATTTTTGGAAAGGTAATTTTAAATTATTTTCAGTTAATTAAAAATGTAGAGGGTGTCCCAAATAAAAAATCAATTTTTTTGTTGATAACTATTAAATTATTAATTTTAAAAAAACTATACTTAAACCATTAAATTCTACGTAAAAAGGTGCTTTGGAAATGTTTTCATAGAAATACAAAATTTTCCATAGCAAAAAAGTTACAGCGATTTGTTAAAAATGCACATTTTTGAAAAACACTCCGTAACTCCGAAACGGTAATAGATATTGATGTGCGGTTTTCACCATCATGTTTTTGATGAAAATTGAGCTCCAGACACCGATATTAGTTTTCGTCTATCTCCTATAGAAAAGGGTGTTTCCATTTAAAAGCGTCGAATTTGACCCACCCTATACTCGATATGTGCTATACGTCGATACTAGTTTTCTACCTTTTGTTAACATTTTAATACGTTTTTTTCGTAATTAATTAGTATGATACCACCGGATACACCATAGGCGTAGTGAAAACATTTATCAAAAAAATAAATATCGCTTCAAGCGACTATGTTAAGAAAAATATGTGCCACGGCACTGTTTGGAAGAATGGTCACAGTTTGGTCTCGGGTGCCATTTGTCCTATTAGGTTTGGTAGTGATAATTTTGGCGAGGTCAAGCCCTAAACGTCATTTACTAGGCCTATATTCTTCTTTATTTTTTTAATGACGCTTACTGCCAGCTGGCGTTAAGAAGGTTGTAATTTATTTTTGTATTGAGTACATACTGTACTTTTTCTATAATTAGTGTTAATTTTTGACAAGTTTTATGTCAATTTTTATTAAATGATCTCTAGGTTAGGTATTAACCTTGCCAAAATTACCATCGAATTGTCATTGACGCCGTTTTTTTTTTCGATCATACGGTATTTGTTAGCGTCTGGTGCATCTGGGCGTTGAATAAACTAGTTTTGGTATAACCGGAAGGAGAGCACCAACCTGGAAAATATTATTTAAACCAGAATTTTGACATGACTATAATTTCAAATTTTATATGATCTCTGTTAGCAGGCAATTCATGGGCGTGCCATAAATATTTTTATAACTAATAACCTAACCATAAATATTTTTGTAATATTACTTACTTATACAAAAATGTTAAAAATGCCCTATCTGTTTTACTTTTTCAATGTTTTTCAACCTAAATGAGACATAAAACCTTTATAAAAATTAAGAAGAAAAACAATAAAAAATCAATAAAATCATGCAACTATTTTACCGATAACGACTACACTGTTCTCCAAGTTCAGTCTACCACTGTTTTGATCGATGTTTCTCGTTTCTCGTAAAAAAATAGACGACGCGTCCCATCAATAAGAATTTGACAAATTTGCAAGTAGTTAATGGTCAATTGCTGTCCTCCATTCGCGAACTTCGAGTTCCGGGCTTTACGCCCTGGGGCTACTCGAGAACGGTTCTGAAAGGAGCGGTGCGCGATAGCCTGGTGCCTCCATATGGCACAGAACAGTTCTGGAGCTTTATGACTCAATTGAATGGAGTGAGGAGTGAGAGCATCGCGTTCTTGAACAGTTCAGAGCTGCTCAACTGCGTGAAAGGAGGACAGCAATTGTAATGAGTGTATCTTTGAGTGTATGTACGGAGTGTATTTTGCGATGACATACTCATCAAGTCCGTCCATACTCATCAAGTGACTCTCTGCCGCTTGTATATAGGTAGCAATCTATAAAATATACTGCTGTTTGCTGTTTATTTAAATGTGTTTTGTAGTAAATTGATCATACTCCGATAATGTGCACGCATTCTTAAAATTCCTTTCATAGACACAGATCCAGGAGACGTACTTTATAAAAAAAATGTCAAGGAGCCAGGGAATATTTACACAGACAGCATCCAAACAATGACAGAAATTACAATTTATATATGTGAATTAAAATGACACAGACACAAAACTGTCACTGTCACGAATTCTCTCGTTGGACAGACTATTATAAACATTATACATATATCTAAATTTAAATTTTTAATTAACTGTACGCATTCTAAAATATGTCGCATGTAAATACATAAATATAATATTTCAGATTAAAGATTTAATAATGAGAATTTTTTTTGTATTATCTGGCCAATGTCCCCACAAAAGCAGTGCCCACCTCCTGCAGTTGCTATGCACATATTAAAAAGATAAAATTATGTATTTTTGAAATATGCGATACCCTTCAATTAAAGAATTTTGCCTCCGGTCAAATACAGGGTGTTTCAAAAAACATGTGCCATCTCTCGTGGGGAGATTCCTCATGTGAGTGAAAATAAGATTGATTTTTCATATCAACATAGGTCCGATTCTGCTTTTTTGGGGACTTCTTTTCATATTTTTTGATGAGGAATCAATACTTATTTAACATTTTGGTCAGTAAAAGACATTAAAATTTTTTGAAGGTTTCTATTAAAATTGAATTAAGGCAAATTAAATAAATTGCAAATGTTAAAAGACAACTTTTAATAAGCGTTTAACGGTTTACACAATTTTGCTAACAAGAGAAGAAAAAAGTCAGTGGCGCACATATTTTTTAAAAAAAAATATTCCAGTGATAACACAAATGCACGACCCTGGTGTATTCAGACATATTTGTCGACATTTGACATTTTTCTAACATTAAAATATGTCACACTTATAGTAACTTTCACACTTAAAATCGAAGAGGTTTTCGAATCGCTAAAAGTACTTATTATAAAATTATTATTAATCGAAAAATAATACTTATTTAATCCCCTGTAGCCACAAACAAAGCAGAATTGGACCCTATGTCGATATGAAAAATAAATATTATATACATAAGTATTTAATATCTAATTAACTTAATAAAGTACCTAATAGATGAATAATTAGTCCAGTGTTGCTCAAAGGGGATGCTAGGGTATCAAACCTTGTTAATTTATTAAGTTTATTAGGTTACTGCATTTGACTAAAAATTTAAGGCGTTTGTTGTGTTGTCTGTTTTCCAAAATTGTTTATCACTTTTTCGAATAATTTATATAATGTTCTCATTAACCCCTCCCCCCATACACGAGAAGATTTAGCCTGCGTATTTGGCCCGCGGACTTGGTTTGGACGGACCAAGTCTGTAGCAGGCTATACCTGTGGCGGACCAACCCTGTCACAGGCCAAATCCGCGGACTTGGCCCCTCAGATTAGAATTGGTCTAAAAAAACGATCGAAGGATAAAGTTGCGGACTTACGAAAATACGGCAGTTTTTATTCCTCTAAACATCTATATTATAAAAACTGCTATAAAACGTCAAATTTTGTCCCAAACGAGAATATTTTATGCTAAAAATACGAGAGTATGATGGTTTAGTGAGAGAGGTATATAGTAGTTGGTAGGTACGTGAAAGGGCGGACTAAATCCGCAGGCCAAATCTTATGGAAGCCTATTTACTCCTTTACTTTTAAAACTACCATAATATATTTTTATTAATACCTAGAACCTAGATACTCACAAATATCACATTATGCTAATTAAATAGTTAAGTAAAACTGCATCTTCTCGTGTCCAGAGGTATATCTCTGATTCAATCGGTATGTAAGGATTAAAAATATTAATATATTAATAGTTATTATTTATTAAATTATATATAAGCTATATTATCAATTTTGCGACGTCAATTTAAATTACTCTTTAATAAATTGATTTTTTACCGTTTTATAATGTCCGATCATTTTATTATTATGGACTAATATTTTTTCAAATTCTTGTGTCTACTGGCATCTATCGGTAAATGCATTAGATATCGGCTTTCGACGTATTAGATTTCTATTCTACTAAAAAACTGAAAATGTGATATATGACAAGAAATCCATAGAATTAAAAGGTTCTATAGTTATATAATGTAATCCATAGAATAAATATCTTATTGAATTGACATATTTTGATAATCAAACAATTTAAACAGCTGATTTTGTGATTAATAATTAATCTTTAATTTACATTCTTGAAACGATAAAGAATGAATGATAAAAACACAAAGAAAATAGTAAATATTCTAATTTAAGTCGCATATGATTAGATATGTGTTACATCAAGAATTTGTTATTTGTGGGAATATTTACACTGTATTGTTCCATAATGTAAATATGGTATTCAATTAAAAACAGGGATGATGCTATTAACGATATTTATTGCAATATTTTAGTTTTGGGCAGATCATTAAAACCCCACCAAAACCAACTCCTTATCATGATTGGGACTATTTAATTTTCTCACAACGCTGGCCATTGACAACTTGTACAGAATGGGAACAAGCAAAAAAGGATAACACATGTAACTTGCCTAAGGATAAATCACTATGGACCATTCATGGAGTGTGGCCAACAAAGATAGGTAGGTTAAATTGAAAAATTTCATTTAAGTTTTATTAAAATTATATTTTTCCTAGGCCATGAAGGACCTCTATTCTGTCCCTCAGCCATTCACTTTAATCCAGACGAACTCACTCCAATACTTGATGATCTGAAGGATCATTGGGTTAATGTTGAGGGAAATACTAAACCAAACTCGTTCTGGGCGCATGAATGGAACAAACATGGAACCTGTGCTTCCATATTGCCCCAGTTTGACAGTGTACCAAATTATTTTCGGATGGGTTTAAGATTTAATGAAGAATATGATTTATACAGTGTATTATCTAAAGGAGGGGTTATTCCTAGTAATGATGGATATGACATCGCGAAAATTTATGATGTTCTCAAGCAATACTTAAATAAGGAACCAACTATCCAATGTATTGTAGATAAAAAAACGAAGGAATCATTTTTAAGTGAAATTCGCATCTGTTTTAATAAAACCTTAGATATTATAGGTAAATTTCAGATTTAGTATTGAAATGAAAGTATATATTTTTTTTATTTTAGATTGTAATCAATCAAACAAAACTTATGGAAATAATTATGGAGTAACAACTAATTGTAATCTTAAGAAGACAATTCAATATATATCAAGTATATCAACATCTGCAATAGAAAATGATGAATCAGATATTTTCGTGCTTATGGATCAGTCTTATGAAAATCTGAAACGTTTAACATGGTTATATGACTTTATAAACACATTGAGATGGTTAACTTTGTAGCATTGGATAATCTTAATCAGAACTAAAAACTTAGCTAAGCCTTTTTTTGTAAATTGTAGGATTACCAATACCAGAATAGTATTTAAGTTTATCCTTTAAAAATAAAGTTTGTAATAAACTATTCTTGCTATTATTATTTATAAATAATTTTAACTACTGATAATATTTATTAAAAATGTTATAATATGAAAACAAATTTTATGCCTAATCTTGATTTATTACTTAGGCATTTTAGACATCTTCCTTTGAGACTAAACATACAGAAAAATAATATATACATAAAAGCACAAAATTGGTAATTATTTTTGAAGAATAACTTCAAACTTTCTTTTATTCGAATATTGAAGAAAGATAAAAAAGTTCTCATTTTTTGTCAAAAAAATCTAGTAGTAACATTTACCTATTTATTAGCTGATCTTCTTATAAAGGTGTTGCAAATAAATATATTTAAAAAATGTTTTGCACCCAACAACTCATGTTTGGGGATGTTTACTTTAACTTAAAAATACACATTTATTTCATTCAATCAATTTTTTTATCAGGAAAGCTAAGACTTTGACACTATTAAAGTTGCAGTTGGAGCTAAACCTAAAATATACCATTCATATTTCATAAAAAAATGTAATATTATATTAAATTTACCTAGGGTTTCCAAGGGTTTATCATAATCTTCAGGGACAAAAATTTTTCTTGGAAAACTTGTCATTAATTTAAAAGGCCCATCGCCATCTGTTCTATTCATTTCCACAAACAACCGGACTGCTGAAAGGGGTTCTTTTATACCAAAGTTTTGAACTAAAGTTTTTCCTAAAATGTTTTTGATGTTATATTTAAATACAATAAATAGTATGAGTATAGTTCAGATATGTACTTAAAAAAACAATATTGAGTAACTAAAAAATTGGAAGATTTTTGAATATTTGTGTATTAATGTAGATTTTACCATCTATAAGTTTTATCTGAAGCTTCACTTCAGTGTAATTTTGGGGTTTCTTTTCCACTATGCTAGTTACCACTGGAGGTGTTGCAGGTATATCCTGATTATTAGTCCCAGAAAATTTAGCTTTTCTGGCCAATTTATCAGCCTCAATTTGATCTCTAACTCTTTGTCTTGCCAATTTTTCTTCTTCCTTTTCCCTTCTCCTTTGTTCAACAATTTTTTTCATTTCCAGTTCCTCATATTTCTTTAAAAATAAGTGTCTGTGCAATCAAAACTATTAAAGTAAATACAAACTCTTACCTTTTTTGCTTCAAGAAGTTCTTTTCCAGACTTGATACGAGCTTTCTCCTTTAATAAGGCTTCTTCTTTTTCTCGGGCTTCCCTTTCTAGCCTACGTTGCTTTAATTTTGCCTCTATCCGAGCAAGTTGCTCCTTTTTTTCTTCTTCAGTTAGGGATTTCTTCTCTTCAGTAGATTCTGAGAAATTTTCGTGACCTGAAATAGCATATTTAATAGGACGTAATATTCCTCTAAGATTGTCTACTCACCCGACTTAGAAGCATGAAATTGTATTTCGTCATCTGTATTAAATATCTTCCCACAATCATCACATTTAATAGATTTCGCTGTAGGCTGTTCAGTGTTCTCTAATAAACCAGAGGAGGTACCTTCTACATTTTCGTTTCCAGCTGGATTTATTTCAAGTGGATCTTGTGGAATATCCTCTTCGTGAGACAATATCCAGTCCATGATAGCTTGAACGTCTGTACTACCGGTCTTTGTCATTGCGAGTTCACTATAATACATATTTTAAAAAAATATATACATCTAAAATTATTATACTTTACATTCTCTCTTTGGGAAAACCCATTTCCATTAAAGCGTCTATTACATTTGACATGTTATTATTCGGATTATTCCTTTTTTTGCCTTTTTAAACCTACAAAACTTTTTAATAGTTTCAGTATTTTATAAAATTAATGCACCACCAAGATTGATATCATATTATTGACATTAACAAAATTACATTGTCATATATTCATCATAGCCATCATATACCCTTGTCATATACCGGCTTCTATATCTTCTTTTAAAAAGTTGGTATTTGAAGATAAAACATATAAAAAGTTTAAAGTGGAGTAACGTCACCTTTTTGCTGCTAAGGCTAATCTGGACGGTGCATACATTGTTTACGCCATGTTTACGCAGAAGAATCCGAACAGCGGTCCTACTCAGACCCGCTTTAAGGCGGATCCAAGGGTGGATCCTGTCTCTACATTGATTAACCAAAGTTAGCCTGGATGGTAACCCTGTTACCAGACCGGATCGTTCTAGTTCGCTTGGGCCTTCAAATTAATAAAAAAAAGTAGAAGATTGTTACTTTAACCAAAATCTATACCGGGCTTAAATTTGGCTATAATTTAGCTTATGAATGGCTTAAAAATGCCTTTTAACTTTTAACCCTTTTAGCTTCCATAATTTGGCTATTGATTTGCTTTGAGTTAAGTGTATGTGGTGTATTTTATTTTCAAATTCAGATGTGATGGCATCAATAGCTTTAGGAAAACGTCTTTTAAAAAAGTATGGTTTATGGGATAATTTACTATATTATTCTACGACAGCCCCTAAGATAAAAACCAATAAAAATACATTGTTAATTAGTTGTAAACAAAAGAAACTTGATTATTATTTAGGCTCTACTTATAATAAGTTGGACGAAGTATCCTTAGCTTCTAAGGGATGGTTGCACAGTAAATCTAAGGGTGATTATTTTACAATTATTCCGATTTCTAAACAAGAAGACGAAGGAGAAGGATGTTTATTCTCAAACTTAGGAATAAATAAATTAATAATTGACGCTTTGAAAAATATTAAAATAAAGGAAGCTACTAGCTTTCAAACAAAAGCTATTACAACTGTACAAAGAGGTATTGATTAAAGACATTTATTTCCAGGATTTAAAGTAAGTTTTTGTAGGTGTTCATACATTATTGGCAGCTGAAACAGGATGTGGTAAAACAATTGCATTTCTTTTACCTATCATTCAAAATATTATAAACAGTGAACGGAATGAACAGCTCAACGCTCCAAAAGCTGTTGTTTTGGTGCCAAACAGAGAATTAGCTTTTCAGACAACTGAATTTGCAAATATATTAGGTGCGCCTTTTGGAATTAAGGTTAAAACTGTAACTGGAGGTATAAAGAGTATTTTATGTGTGGTAAGGAAACTCACATATCTTTTCAGGAAGAACAAAATATAATATGATGAATCCACAATTAAATGATGTAGACATTATAGTTGCAACACCAGGTGCTTTAAGTAAACTTTCTACTGTAGGCATTTACAAATTGAATCAGGTACATAGATCACTAATAACTAGACTCATTTAATTATAAGTAAAGAGCATCAAGTTCATTTTTAGGTTTTATACTTTGTATTAGATGAAGCTGATACACTCCTAGATGATGGCTTCATAGACAGAGTAGAAGTATTAATTAAGAGAATGTCGCAAGCACAATTAATATTAGTGTCAGCCACATTGCCTAGAAAATTACCTGACATTTTAGCACCGTATGAATCAAGAATGGAACAGGTAAAAATATCTGTGTGAATAGTCTTAATACTGGGACATAATATTTATATAGGTTGTATCACCCAATCTTCATATGCCCCTTTTACATGTCAAACAAAAATTTATGAGAATTACCAAATCAGACAGACCTGCCCGTTTGTTACAACTTACTAAATTTAACAAAGAGCCCATGATTATATTTACTAATAAACATCAAAATTGTAATTGGTTAGCTATGTTTCTGAGAGAGAATGGAATCAGCTGTGCAAATATAAATGGTGACATGAATTATGCAATTCGAATAGAACAATGGAATAAATTTATTCGGTAATTTAACACTGCTAAAAATTGTAAAATAATTGAGTTTCTATTTAATTTTGTTTAACATTGTAGAGGAGAAACAAATATTTTATCAGCTACAGATGTAGGGTCAAGAGGATTAAATACAATTCAAGTTAAACATATTTTAAATTATGATTTTCCTATATACGCAGCTGACTATCTTCATAGGATAGGTAGAGTGGGAAGATTAGGTAGTCCTCATGATAGTAAAATTACAAATTTTATATGTTCCGAACCAGAAGTTAATCTTGTCCAACAAATTGAGGTAATTGTAATATTTTTTTTTATCTTGTACAGAACATAAATTTGTAGCTTGCAATACGGAGAAATGTGCCTCTTACAAATGTTGATGGAAATATTACTAAAATTGTACATAATAATATATTGAGAAAAATAAGACAAGGGCCCTAAGTAGTTATAAAATTAAAATAAATTAACTACCATGCCTGTTAATAAGTGCTAAATATATTTTATGTAAAAAAAATAATTGAAAAAAATACATTACCAAATTGTTGATGTGCTACAAATATTCAGGTTTATTTTATAAAAATATGTTTACATATTTCAGAAGAACTCTTGTTTAAATTATTATTACTGGTTCTGTTGGTAAATATTTTTTGAAATTTGCGTGTTAACTCCTTCGTAAGGGTGCAGCCACACTATCCTAAAAACGGCGTATCGGCAAAGGTATCGGCGTAACGACCTTGAATCGATTTCCAGTAATTCTATTGGCTAAAATTTTTGACAGATAAAATTTCTGACAGATGAATGTTTCAGCCAATAGAATTACTGGAAATCCATTCAAGGTCATTACGCCCGTTACGCCGATACGCCGTTTTTAGGATAGTGTGGCTGCAGTGCAGCCAAAGAGGTTAGAAGAGAAAGAGGTAACAAATGCTCTATTTTATAATGCGCGAAGGCTGCCTGTTTTTCCGATCTGGGTTCCTTTGGTGGGGGTCACGCCAGGAGCGGATTTAGAAATTTTTAAGTGAATAATGATATACATCTAATATATAAAATTCTCGTGTCACAGTTTTTCCTCTAATAGTGGTAAAATTGAAAATACAAAGTATATATACAATCCTCTGGTAAGTACTGTTTAATATCTTTTGCTTTGCTGCTCGTTTCCTTATTTTCCCTATTGCTTTGTTTATCTAACCTATAAATTAGCTTCTTGCATGGCTGCTAGTTCGGGGGGCCCTAAAATATCATATAAATATTCACATAAGGATTCTGGTCCTTACTTAATTATCATGGTACAAAGAAAACAAGGTATGATCGATAGCGGCTCCAATTTCGTTAAGTTTGCGCATACCTTAGACAAGGAAAGAGAGGGGACAGGTAACACGACAGCTGTAAGTGAGGCAAGTTGTCACCAATCGAAATTCTCCAATGGCGTAGCATCAGAAATTAGCTTGTACCTAGACGGTACAAAATATTTATTAAAACGTAAACTAATATATCGTTCATTTTTGAGTAATGCATATACAATTTTGTATTTTATAGTCTCACCTTTATAATATTAGAATATCTAAGTGGATAATGCAAAATTTATTTAACAGTCACAGTGGACTGATTATTATCAAGACAATTATTTATTTATTAACGTGTGTATAATGTATAATTAAATAAAAAATAATGTAATAACATATGTTTTAAACGTGTATATACATATATACTGTATGATCGAAAAAAACGGCTTCTTGTTTGTTTGAAAATGACAATTTCACAAATGAATATTAAAAATTACATTATTCATTGAATCCGTAAGCAAGTGTGAAGGGAATTGACTAGATTCATTATTATACCGTATAATCGAAAAAAAAACGTCCAGTTGGCTTGTAAATTACGATCGATGATATTCCCCATATAATTCTACATATAAAATGACATAAAAACTATACAAAACGACATCGAAAAAAGACGGCGTCAGCGATGGCTATGAAATGAAGATCGCTGTCATTTTATATGTAAAATTATATGGGGAATGTCGTCGATCGTCATTTACAAGCCAACTGGACGTCGTTTTTGTTTACCACCATACGGTATAATAATGAATCTAGCCATTCCCCTTCACACTTGCATACGGATTCAATGAATGTAATTTTTAATATTTCTTACCTTCAATCATAAGAATATCCTAATTTTCCACAAAAAAAAAACAATTCTGGAAGCTTTGTGTTATTTTATTTATTTTTAAATTTTTATTAATTACTCGCTGAAACTATTATTATACACCTAAATTAGCAAATTTTTTGAAAGAATATTTAAAAAAATATATGTAGTAACAGGTAGCCCACCACAAGTTTGTCCACCCCTAGCAAATCTTGGCAGGTAAATTTAAGTTTTATATAACAACTATACATATAGATTTTTATATAACAACTATACATATATTATTTTTTTATAGTTTACAATTATTTTACATATTTGATAACAATACTTTATACATTTTTTTACATGTAAAATATATAAAAAAATGTTTATTGCAGAAATTGTATTTCTCTGATTATAATTGGACGCCACTGGAGAAATCCATGCTGAGTAGCATTATTTATAGTTTCAAACATTAATTATAATACAGGATATTGAAAATACCACTTGGAATTATTAAAAATCTTATTAAAAATGGTTTGGATGTGGTACAAAACATATTAAAAGCATTTTACATATTTTTACTGCTATAATGAAAAAATGTACATTTTATGACCACATAACAAAAGTTGTGTATCGATTTTTACCTGTGAAATGTAATTCCAGCCACTTTTTTCTCGCTTCGGCATTTGCAGCCATACGCTGAACATTTCGCCATACTAAACAATACAGTTTATAAATTTAAAACAAAACAGTTGTCACAAAAAACATAAAAATTCGCTCGGTGTCATCTCGAAATCTTGTCACCAAAGTATGGCCGCCGATCAAATTTTGGCCTCAAAAATTTTTCGCTGAAGAATATGCGTGTTAGCCTTCTATATTTTGGTATTTGTCTACTAATAAATAATATCTTATTTTGTATTTCGATGTATGGAAATCCGCAAGTTTTGTATCTGAAGCCGCAAAGAAATTTCGCTCTATAGTGAGAAAAATGTTATTATATCTTTTTAGGCGTGTAGAATTACAAAATTTCTTATTTCAGATGTTCTAAATGTGAGTGCATGTCAAAAATTTAAATATATACTTGATATATTATTTCAAGTTATATGCTTTGACATTTTTTGGAAGTAAACAAATATTGAAGAAAGTGTTGTGCCTTCACAGAATTTAAATTGGCATTAGGAATAGATTTCCTTGATTTAGTAATAATATTGCTCATAGAAATTGATAATGTGAAGAATAACAATACAGGAACATAGAATAACAAGAAAGAAATTCTAGCAGCAAGTTAGGTTATGAGATAAATTTTATTTATATAGTTTGTTTAAAGAGTTTAGTTTGAAAAAAAGGTAAAACAATTATTATTGTCCATGTCATATTTGATAACTGTTCTTAATTGATAACATATTACAGGGACACAGTAAAAAGACAAAACATTTAGACCCTTTGAAAGAGAAATGTTTGCAATGGATATTAATAAATTCTAGCCAATTTGTACGATGTACAATGCAGGCAATATTTCTGCCTCTAACGCACTATTCGCTTAAAAGAAGATGTGGGTATTGTATTTATACCTAGGTAGTTAATGATACATGGAATATATTTCTATATTATTGCAATAACGATGTCTTTATGTTGTATTTTTTAGAACAGATTTATTATTAGTTGGCTAGTGTGTTAGTAGGATAGCCATTGGTAGTTATAAAGTATGAAGTCGTCAGGTATTAATAATAGGAATTGATCAAAGCTTATACATTTATTGTGATATTTATATTGTGAATTTAAGTAGTTAGAGTTTTGGTTGTTTAATAAACGAATTAATGTGCTTATTGTGTATCTAATTAAAAGAACAATGAAAAGTTGAATACCATAGGGGTACGTATGTTATACAAAGAATTTGCATCAACATTTTTTTGGTTATATACTTGTACTGATATTTGTTTCTTGAACTAAAGAATTATACAGTACCTACTACACAATATAATAATCTGCAGCTACATAGGTAGGTAGCTGTTGGTAATTAAATTTTTTATCTAATATAATATCTAACATCAGAAATATTGTTAATTATCAACTATAAACAACTAAGAACTAGAATTATCAACTATAAACACAATATAATATACTGTATCTTAAGCAATATGTAATTATTTAACAATTATTTTTTTTGGGAAATAAAAACTGGTACTAAATTCTTTTTGACTATTTAATTTCTAAGTCACAAATAATGGTGGACAAATAGCAAGAAAATTATACAAGTAAAACATAATTTTAACTTATTTCTCTAATGGAATTTTGGTATTGATCTACTTAGTAGGATATGCAGTTTATCATATTTTTGAATATTTATATTCAATATTGTTCAGGAACAGCCCAATTACTCTGAAAAAAAAATATATGGTCAAATTCTTTGAAAAGAAACTTTTAAAATCAGTAATGATAAAAAAATATATAATTGTTGTATAGCAGAACCAGGGGACACAGAATTAGGGGAATTAACAATAGATTATTAAAAACTGCCTTCTCTTAAAAAAGTAGTATTATATGCACTTAGAAAGACTATAAAGGATAAAGTACACATAGAAAGAAAGTAAAGTATCTATCCTACTGATATATATATATATATATATATATATATATATATATATATATATATATATATATATATAACTATATATGAATACGATACCTACAGTATACAATATTACTAGTACAAAAATAACAGCACAGTCGGCACACTTTAAAATAAAAAAAGCAGCATAATATTCAGGTATGTATGTAAGTAAAATTTTCTCAAAAATATGAAATAAATTGCAACTAAATTTTAATTAATAAACATAAACAAATAAAATTGTCAGTGTTATTAAAACTTTATGCAAATATATGTTACCTTAATACTTTGTCTTTAATCCTACTCTTCTGACATGGCTTTTCAAACTAATATTTATGAACTTTTGTTTCCATATTAATTTCAATATATTTGAATAAAACTCGAAAAATAATCAATATTGGCACTTGAAATTTTAATTTCTTATGTCCTTAAATTATTTATATCGTGTTATACATAATACTTACATAAATATTCAATTTAAAAATAGATCAGCACTTGAACGAGTAAATATAAACATAGTATATTATCAATTTCTATGAGCAATATCAATTACTTAATCATTTATTTCTAATTCCTAATAAATTTAAATTCTGTAGAGGCAAATCACTTTCTTCAATTTTTGTTTACTTCAAAGTGCAATGGGTATAACTACAAATATTTCAAGTATATATTTTAATTTTTTATAACCATGGCTTGTTGTGTCGCTCACCTCGTGAATAGCCACCGAGGTTGTAGGCGATTTGGGGTTCGCCCCATGAATAGAAGAAAGGACATGGAAGGCAATTTTGGAACTCTAATACAAGACATGCCTTCCTTGGAATGGGACGAACAACAGTTCACAAAATACACCAAAAAATTAACATTTCAAAATTTCCACGTAATGCGCATCTACACGTTTTCCTTAATCGCAATTCGTAATCGCTAAAAAGTTAAAAGTTGGGAACTTTCAAAATAAAGAATTACGAACCGTGGTTAAGAATTAAGGATTAAGACATTGTATAACCAAACTAACTGCATAACACGTATTTTATCTTTTATAATTTAGCTTGAATAAGAAATAAGAATTAAGGAATAGCAATTAAGGAATTGGGTAAATCCGCCCCTATACACATAATACTTACATAAATATTCAATTTAAAATAGATCAGCACTTGAACGAGTGAATATAAAAATAGTATATTATCAATTTCTATGAGCAATACATTTAGAACATCGGAAATAAGAAATTTTGTTATTCTACGCGTCTAAAAAGATATAACATTTTTCTCACTATAGAGCGAAATTTCTTTGCGGCTTCAGATACAAAACTTGCGGATTTCCATACATCGAAATACAAAATAAGATATTATTTATTAGTAGACAAATACCAGAATATAGAAGGCC